CTTGATTCTACTACTCAGCAATATGTTTGGGGCAAGTTGTTGAGCTTTCTATGCCTCAGTATTTCTATCTGTAAAAAGAGAGATGTAACACAATTGCTCTCACTCTGAGCCATGTTATGAGGGTCACTGAAAGCAATGTCCGGAAGCTGCATGGTACAAGGAGGATGCGTTGTGACTGCTCAAAAATATCAGTTGTTGATGTTAATCATTTTTATTTTAGGTTTTTTCTTTATTCTTCGCCTCATTTTTTCTAATTTGTACTCAATTGTTTGAGAAGCACGTGTGTGTGTGTGTGTGTGTGTGTGTGTGTGTGTATCTGTGTTTTTATCTGTGTGTGTGCATGGGTGCTTTTTCTTTTCTCTCTGCATTTCTGTGTTTTTCAAGCTGATGTGAGGAGACACAGGAAATAGTCAGGTCAGAGAGTGCTTGGCCCTGAAGTTGCTTTGTAGCCATCTTGGTTCTACTGCTCTGTACCATTTGGAGTCTTAAGTGACCCTGTCCACAGCTGCTAAAAGTCAGAGTGACCTGGTGATGGCCTGGAGTCCGGGGAAGCAAAGCCGTTCATCCACATGAGAGGACTTGGTGGGGGGAGGGGATCAGACACCCTCACAATGAACACCTGGTCTTGGTATTTCTCTGAAGGCCTCTTGAGGGGGTCAGAGTTTCTGCCTTAGTCTCTGTCTCCTCCAAATTTAAGGTATTTTTTGATTCCTCTATTATTCAAGATACTCTGTGTGGAAAAATTAAAATAGTTCCTCTATTTTATTATTTTTCTGCTTTGTTAGTATCGTGACACTTTATTGATTTTTATTATAATTTCACAACGTTTCAGTTATACTGGAGATTAAATATGCCTTTGTGATGTGACCTTTAAAATTATTTCTATGGGGGAAATAAACTATTGTTGGTAACATCTAATTTATGAGAGAAAACTTTAGAAGGCCGCCTGCTTGCACATGGGCAACTAACTGCATGGCATGGTATGTGTGTTGCTGGTGATCTTTTACTAAACTCAACCTCCATTCTGTCTACAGAAGACATTTACCAGGAGAGACCCAAGTACTCATTTAATGTCAAATGAAAATGGTATTCCTTTAGAAGTGGATTAGCTTTTAATCTCCTTTATAAATGAAAGGCATGTCCTTTAAATCATGTTTATTACTATCACTTTGACTTGTATGCAAGGTTATATTCACAGATATTTATGGCACTTAATCTGATATAAAAGCCCAACTAAATTTCCAAAAATATAATAAACACTGAATTTGTGTGCTTATGTTTTTAAGATGGAGAAGTTAAAAATTGCTGCAGATCTGTGTGTAGACTCGTTTGATTAATTTGTCAAGATTTAGCCTGTTTCTGTTCTCCAGCCCACCCATGTGGTTTAATCAAATTAAGATGTTAACACCGGGCATTTAAAAGGGAAACAGAAGAGATTCATTTATTCAGACTACAGTGGGAAAGAGAGAAACAGCAGCAGTTTCCTACGTCTCACTCCAAGCTACTGTTGTGCTTGGCAGGCAGGTGGCTCCCAGGTTGTGATGTGGAGAACATACATCTAGTTCACGTTCCTGGGCTGCTTGGGAAATACACATTCACGGGCACCTCCTAGACTTAGAATTTCTGGAGTTGGGACAATTGCGTGGTTAATTGGCCCCTAAATGATATTTGGTAGTTTGAGAACCTCCCTTCCATGCATTCTCTCTTGAGATGCAAAGGCTTGACCATGAATGTGACCATAATATCCCCTCTTAACTCAGCACTTGGTGTTGCTGGACTTCTGCTTTATGGATGCTTGACTTCTTCATTAGATAGATTTGTTGAGGTCTGTATTAGGTCGCTAGGGCTGCCATAATAAAATACCATAGATGGGTGGGCCTCAGTAACAGAAATTTATTTTCTGATGGTTCTGAACACTAGAAGCCAAGAACAAGTTGTCAGCAGGGTTGATTTCAGGGGTCTCTCTGCTTGGTTGGGGATGGAAGTCTTTATTCTCACATGGTCTTTCCCCCATGCAAGTGTGCTGTTTGTATCTTAATCACTTCTGCTTATAAGGATGCCAGTCATTTTGGATTAAGGCCCACCCACACTTAGCGTGTTATTTCCTTAAAGTTTCTGTCTCCAAAAAGTCGTATTTGTAAGGGTTAGGAGTTTAACATATGAGTATCGGTGGGAAACAGTCCAGTTTATAACAGTACTGATGGCTCTCAAACACTATGAATAAATGAAAGTGAACACCATTGATTGTTTATAAAGTTCCTTTACCTATCTAGCCTCTGTCCATCAGGAGGAAGCCTGTTCCTGACCTGAGTAGTCTCTTCTAAAGTAGCAGAGAGGAGGTAGAGACAAAGACAGTTTACTTTTCATTGGCTCTTTCCACCTTGGATACATTTATTTGAAGGAGGAAGGATCTGTTTTGGGCTCAACTGCTTTAAATGATAAGGCTGAAGTTCTCCAAGAGAATCTCAGAAAGCAAAACTCCATAATTAATATTAAAAGGATGCTCCCTTGTTTTTCTGCTAGGTGCCTTGGTCAGCTTTGTGTCACAATAATGAAATACCCAAAGCAGTTAACTTGTAAAGAAAAAAGTTAATTTGGCTCACAGTTTTGAAGATTCTAATCTTGTGACTCTGCTACTATGGGCATTTGGTGTGATGCCATCATGGCAGGAGTCTGGGGCAGAGCCAAATAGCTCACACTCTGAGGTGGAGGTAAAGAAAGGAAGGGAAAGAGACCAGGGTTCCACAATGACCTTCAAATGACCCCTCTTAGCCTAAAGACCTCCCAGAAGGCCCTACCTCCTAAAGGTTCCACCCCTTTCCAATAGTCCCTTCCAGTCTGGGGAATAAGCCCTACCGTAGGAACCTTAGGGGAAATTAACATCTAAACTATAGCACTGGAGGAAATTTGCACTAATTGTGCAAGAGCACTGGTGGCTAAAATTGATGGTGCTTTCAATGGCCTGAGCAGAACCATTAAACTCTACTCAGTCATCATTGTAATTTCCACACGGAGCGTTTACACTGCCTGGAAAGAAACACACAGTACTTGTTTTACTTGAGAACACCCTTGATGAAGTAGTAAAGTTGTTCAGTTTGCTACTTCTCTTAGTACGTATTTTTTTAGTATTTTGTATGATAAAATAAGGTGTATCCATAAAGCATACTTGCTTTCAGTGGCTATTTTAAGGAAGAGCACTTGTGTTATTGAATTATAAGCTGAACTAGTTCATTGTCATGAAGAGCCATTTGAATTTGAAAGAAAAAGAGATAAACTTAGTCATTTGGACTCAGGTAGCTGGCAGACATATTTGAAAAAAAAAAAATGAGGTGAGCTTAAGAAAAAGAGTTTTTTTGAGGTAATTGTTACCCATAATAAAATTCAAGCTTCCAAGGGAAAAATTAGGATTTGGGAAACACTTTCTGTTACTGTGATTTTAACAGCTTATCACCAGTTGAAGTTTTTTGTAGATGAGGTTGGTGATTAATAAGTGTGATTTTTGGATATTATATGTTGAAATGGGTCAGTATTTGGGAACTCTGCATAACTCACTAAAACACAGTTTTTTGAATGACCAATGCATGGTGCTACAAAAAAGATCTATTGAAAACACAAGCTAGACCAACAAGTTGTAATATAACAGAGCATAAATTGTTCATAGTGTGATTTCAGGCTCTGCATTGCAACTGATCTTTAAGAAACCACCACTTGTCAAGTTTTGGTAGATTATCAGAAAAGAATATCTACAATTATCTGAAAGGATTATTTCAAATACTCTTTCCTTTTTAGATTACATATCTGAATAAGGATGGATTTTTTCCACTTACTGCCAACAAAAACATATCAAAACAGATTAAAGACAAAAGCAATATGAGAATCAAGTTATCATTTATTGAAACCAAGCATTGAAGAGATTTGAAAAAATGTAAATTTCACTTTCTCATTTTTTCTGTTATATACATAAAATGTGTTGTATAACATCTAATGGGCTTATTATTGCTACTTTAAAGTGAACTAGTGAATATACATTTTAAAAGTTTCTCAGTTCTAATTTCTAGAAAAATGAGTATCAAGAGATACAAAGATCCTTAGAAACCCCAATATTTTTAAGAGGATAAAGAGTTCTGAAGCCCAAAACTGAAGCCCAAAAGTTTGAGCCCATTGATTTAGGAAGGTATTTTTCTAGCTATAGTAATTTGTTTAACTTTGATTTATGGTACACGCAACCAAGTATATGCACTATCTGAATACTAAATATGGTAAGCTTGACTTTTGCTTTTTTCCTCTCTGAGATAAAAGCCACAAAAATATTCTGCACCAGAATATTCTCAGGAAGAGTTTAATGCTTGCTTTATCTTTATAATCCCAAATCAATGTAGATAATCATGAACAAACTGGAAGGAAATAAGCCCTATATTTAAACTAGTTTTTGAGAGCTTTGTTTTAATCTAATGAAAATTTATTTAAATTAGCAGAAATTAAAATCTGCCCTTTAGAAACACATTAAGAAATATTGGCAGAAATATGCTCTGGGTTTTTTTTTTCCATCCCACTTCTCTTTTCTCTTTTTCCAGTTTACAGAGCATGTATTTCCTCCCTGTCTTTTCTTCATTCCTTGCTCTGCTTTTATTCATTTCCTTCCTTCTTTCCCTTTGCCTTATAGTAATTACAAGTATTTCTTCGTGCACTGCAGTTTTTGATTTCTGCAAGTGTCCTCGAGGGAAAGATGCTGAGTCGGTGAATATGAACACGGCATTGACAGAGTGTGGGCTGCACTTCAGGTTCGCAGCTCTAAGGCTTAGGCGGCTCCCTTCCATTCCGCGTGTAAAATCCAATGCTGCACTGTGTGCTGTTTCTATTCTTAGATTCCTAGAGGCTGGGAGGAAGGTTAAAGGGAAGAATTTTAACTTAAAATTTTACCTTCTAGAGGAAATGACTTTAGAATAAGTTCTACTCTTATGCTGTGTCCTTCATAGATTTCTTTCTTATTTTTCCTCTAGTCCAAAAGTCGTTCCAGAGTTGGCCTGAAGTCGAGTTCCAAGCAAAAGGTATGGCTCTTTTCTCCCTTCTGGGTTGCTCCTTTATCAAATAATTACTTTTGGTGGTTGCTTGGCTGTTGTCTTCCCTTAAGACAATGACGTGTCTTCCTGGGATAGATCCAGAAACAAAGTATTGAGATTTTCATTTGCTTTGCTTCCATAATAATGAAACTGAAAGTGGAGAGAGAACCTTGAAATGAAACAGAACATGCGAGATTCTTGAAATCCAGTGACAAAACCTGAGAATCTCCGTATGGCTTAAGAGAACTCTGAAAACAAGGTCATAAGACTCCACAGAAGGCCTTGCTTTTATTTTCTCAGCCCTTCCCACTGAAGAAATTTGTCACTGTCTGTTTGCATTTTTGCTATATTTTGTTCTCTCAGTGTCTGCTGTGGAGAAGGACCTTCACCTTTGGTGAATTGGTTAAAACATGAGCTCTGTGAGTCAGAAAGCACTGATTTCCATTCTTGGTTCCATCTCTTCACTATGTGGCTGTGGACATATCTGTGTAAAGATGACCACACCATTAGCGTAGTATGTCTAGGATACATGAGCTAATGTATGTGAAAGCACTTGTATGCCAGTGCCTAGGAGAAAATAAGCACTTAAAAATGTTTTAAAATTATGTTTAATTAATAAAGTACAGAACAGTAGAAAATACAAAACTCTTCCTCCTCAGACACACATTTAAATTACCTTAACTCCTAGTGATACATGAGGCAACAATGCACATGGATTAATTCTTAGGGTTTAGGAAAGCTTATCCTCAATTTGGAGAGCTCAGTGTAGAAATTTGCACTGGACCTGGTCCTTGCCAAACCTTTCAGGCAAGGGTCACACAAACCACAATACCTATCTTGGTGTCAGTTGTCAGAGAAAAGACTCTGCAAGAATGCAAATTATTTAGAAGTGCCTCAGAAGACTGAAAAGTGCAGTGACTTGGAAGTGCCATGCCTGGCGCCTGTGCAGATCGTTCCTGTTTCTACTAAGGAAGCATCACGTTGACTGGGAAGATAGGCTTCAGCCCTGCCCTGAATACTTAACAGATAATAACAGCGAACATAGATGCAGCAAACCCTATGTTCTGGGTACAGTAGGGACGCCTTGCAAGGATGAACTATTTAATATCCTCCACAGCATTCCGAAGTAGGTGTTCTCAGTCCCTCAGAGTGTGTCAGGAGAAGAAAACCGCACCAGTCATTTGTGTGAAGTTGTTAACTAGGTCATGGAAAGGGGAAAGGGAGCTGTAAGACATCGTGAAGTAGCAGTTCTAGGGAGCAGCTCCAGGGAACAAAAAGAGTTGGGGTCACTAAAGCTTCCTAGACACTTGAGCACCCCACAAGCTGAAATCCAGACCTCTGCTGAGGTGTGCTGGCCTGAAAACGCTGATGTCCTTCAGGGGCACAAAATGAGGCTCATCCTGTAAGTACCAAAAGCTACAGAATGGATTCTGAGGATCTGCACTGGGCAAAGAACGTTTGTCTTGCGGGGGTGTGTGCGTACGTGCGTGGGTGCGTGCGTGCGCGCGTGCGTGCGCCTATGTATGCAAGGCCTCCTTCCTCTTCCCTCAGCAACCTCCTTCTGGCGCCCCCTACTGGCAGAGCTACCAAGAGGCCAGCAGGCTAAGAGGAAACGGCTTTGGCAGAGTCCCTCCCAGCCCCGCGTCACAAAATAGGTTATAGAAAGGTGAGTTTGGAGCTGAGAGACGATAATTTAAGTACCTGGTACAGTTATTAGCTCCATTGTGCAGAGGAGGAAACCAAAGCAGAGATGTACCAAGCTGTGTTTGCTCCTGGGGTTTTTGTAAGGATGAAATAAGACGGTTTTCCCCCCTCCTTTTCCTTTCCTAGCTAACAACTTCACACATGCTCAACTGTTCTTCCTATTAAGTTCTCTGTTCAAATTATCGGTGTGGTTTCTTCTCCTAACACACACTGGGAGATTAAAAACATCTCCATCGGAGGGCTGCAGAGAGTATTAAAAGCTTCATCACCGTAAGGTCTCCTTCCGCGCCGTGTCGATGTTGGCTGTTGTTATCTGGTAAGTGTTCGGAGCTGGGCGGGAGTCTGCCTTCCCAGTCAACACAGTGCTTCTCTAGTAAAAATAACAGCCATCTACCCAGAGGTGTGTTTGGCCAAGTCACTCAGCAGGAGGCGGCAGAGTCAGAGTTTAAATCAGTCTGGCTCCAATTTCATGTTCTTGAACATTTAAACAAGTGACGCTGGACAACAATAATTCTCTGAATCTTACTTTAAAAATCTGCAAAATGGAGGTGATTGTTTTTAGCTGGTGGGGTTCTTGTAAAGATGGAATGAAACAGGCATGCTGTGCCCCTTACACTTCCTGGTAGATAGTAGGGGCCCAATAAATACTAGCTCTTGTTAAATATGGCAGTTTTCTTGTTTTGAATATAGGAATTCTTTTTGTCTCAATGACTGTATATAGTTTTGAAAGTATTGCTTTTGCCTTGGAGTGGTCCCCGGTCCAGTGGGTTATTTACTTAGCTGATTACTACCCCATTTTAAGTGTTCTGAGTTGGCAAGGGAACAGTAAAGAGAAGTTAAGGCTGGAGTTCAGTCAGTGGAGGATTTATTGGTGATGTCCTTAAAAATCAGAATTTATCAGGGGAGGAATTAGAACATGAAATTCTTCACTTCAGGTTTTCAGCAGTGGGAGAAATCATTGAGTTTACATGTTCATCCTTTAACAAAATTGTTTATTGGGTGCCTTGTTTATTGTTCTGGACACTGCTGGGCGTCAGGGGGGATATGGACATTGACATGGACTCTGCCCTCAAGACCATTGGCTGTAATTTAGTGGAGGAGTATGATGTGACAACTCAGCTGTGCATTCTCCCCGTCGGCCCTGTCCTGAGGGGGGCGCTGTGTGTCTTGTTACATGAATACAGTGCTACTTTGGGTGTAGTATGTAATGAGCTACTATAGAGCCAGCCTGTGTCCGGGGATTGGTAGGCGTAGGGGAAGGCAGATGCCTCTGTTTGAGGACCAGCGTGGACCCTCAGGGCCTTGGAGCCCTGTAGTACCTAACTGTGTCAGGATCAGGCACCTTTCCTCTATAAATTAGGCTGTTTATGGTTTATTTTCCCTCTAAATTTGCTGTCCTTTTGTTTAAAAGTGCTGATTGCCTCAGTAATTCTCCAGGAATTACAGGAAAGGTTTTATTTATATATGTATCAAGACCAGAGCTCTAAAGGGAAGCAGCATTAGAGGTTAGCATGATGGTGATGGTATCCAGGATCTTCCTGATAGAGCTTCAAGGTCATATTCATGTTGTCAGTGTCATACTAAGCCTTATTGATCCTCTAGTAAAAGTTAAAGAGATTAGATTGTATTGGAAGACAGTCTGTAGCACATGGGTATACCCAAAACCTGTCCTTGATTCCCCTGGCTCAAGGGAATCAGAGGAAAATAAACCCACGGAGAAAAAGAGACTGGGAAATGCATATTCTGTTATGTCAGATAGAATGCCAGTGAGTGAAGCTGAGGAAAATTGAAGACTCTCTTGTTGCTACTCTAAGTATCTTTTTAATAGTAATAGTAATGTGAACAGTAAAATATAGCATATAATAATGAATAGTAAAAATAACATATAATCAATGTTTTGATTATTTTGCAGACATTCAATGGTTGCACTATTTTCATTTCATTTTATATATTTTAACATTAGACTTTATTTTTTAGAACAGTTTTAGATTCATAACAAAACTGAACACCTAATACAGAGATTTCCCATAGACCCTCTACCCCACCCGCACAGCCCCCCACTGAGAATATCTCACCAGAGCAGTACGTTTGTTACTATGGATCAGTAGCATTGTGACAGCAGTGTCCAATATTAGCCAATGTCCCTACCTTACATTGAGATTCACTCTTGGTTTGTTCATTCTATGGCGTTTGACAAATAATGACCGATGTCCATCACGATGGTATCATAAAAATCCTCTGCATTTTTAATCTCTCTCCCCACCCCCATGCAACCACTGATCTGTGCTGTACCAATGGTTTTGTCTTTTCCAGAGTGTCATATAGTTGGAATCCTACAGCATGTAGTCTCTCCAGGTTGATTTCTTTGACTTGGCAGTATACATTGAAGTTTTATCCATGTTTTTTCATGGTTTGATCACTCATATCTTGTTAGAACTTAATATTCTGCTTTTTGGATGTATCACAATTTATTTGTGCACTTGTCTACTTTGAGACATGTTGGTAATATTTTGGCAATTATGCACTAAGCTCCTCTGAACATTCTTGGGAAGGTCTTTTTGTGGACGTGAGTTTTCAACTCTTCAGAAATGCTAAAGAGTGTGACTACTGGATTATATGTTAAGAGGGAATTTAATTTTGTAAGACCCAAATTTGGAAGTGGTAAATAGCATCTCCTGCAGCAAATAGCATCTCCTCTCCTGCAGCAATAAAAGAACTCCTCTGGCTTCACATTCTCACCAACATGTGGGGTTGCCAGAGTCCTGGATTTTGGCCAGTTTAGTAGGTGCTTAGTGCTGTCCCGTTGTCATTCTCATTTGCCTTTCCTTGATGATGTATGATTTGAAACATCTTTTTATATGCTTATCTGCCATCTCTGTATCTTTTTTTGTTGTGGATACCTTAAAGCTTTTGCCTGTTTTTTAACCTGGCTATTCTCTTTTTGTTGAGTTTTAAGTATTTTTATATATTTTGGATAACAGTCTTCCATCAGATGCCTTTTGCAAATATTTTCCCCCAAACATTTTCTCACTCTGTGCCATATCTTTTCAGGTTCTTGACAGCGCTTTTTGCAGAGCAGATATTTATTTATTTATTTAGAGACAGGGTTTCACCTGTGTTGTCCAGACTGGTCACAAACTCCTGGACTCAAATGATCCTCCTGCCTCAGTCTCCCAGGTAGTGGGGACTACAAGCTTTGCCATCATGCCCATCTGAAATTTTTAATTTTAATGAAGTCCAGCTTATTAATTCCTTCGTGGATCAAGCTTTTGGTGTTTCCTCCC